TTTAATCAACTATATGAAACTTAAATAACAGTGGCACAACATATTATAACGTTTTAGACGTTTCGACTCTTGTATCAGGTCATTTTCAATAAAACGAAAAAATCATCGGATTTCACCGAAATTAGTTGAAATTGGATCAATTGTTATTAGTTGATGAAGATGGTTTTTGTGTCTGGCCATGATCTTTCATGTCGTATTTGAATGTTGTGTGGTACACTTTTAATATGTTTCATTTTGTTGTGTTTTTGTATGTTTCTAGCTGTAGAGATTTTTTTTTGATAGCTCGGATTGAGTTGGTAGTTTCATCGTTCATTCCTAGTGGCTGAGCGGCTTGTTATGGTTTTCGATGAGTAACTGAAATTAAAGAGAGTCACTGTTTGTTATTATGTCATTTCGGGTATTGTTTTGTTTGGTTTTGCTTTGCGTGAGTCATTCTGTTTTTAGGCCATTGTTGGTTATGTTGTCATCGTATGAGGGATTTTCATTTTAATGCTTTGCGTGATGATATTGGCTGTATGGTTATTGTGCTTCCATGTTATATTCTGTATATCATGCGTCATTGTTCTTTTTTTGAGTGGCTTTGTCTTTTCTGTTTGGTATGTTGTTCTCACGTATAATGTGCTTTTTCATACATGTTTGGTTTCTCATATGAGAGAGCACGTGCGATATTTTTGAATTTTTGTTTGTATTGTAGTATTTTGTTTTTTTTGAAAATGAATATGTCTGTGGAAGTGAATGCTGATGTCAATTCAAGTAACCGAATTACTGTTGGTGATTCGAATGTTTACAGATACCTTTGGGAGAAATACGGTAAATCGATATCGAAATTTTATGGTTTTTTTGTCAAGTTTCAGGTTCGTTTATGGAAAGTTAAATACGATCTTTCTTTTATTCGAACATGCAGAGAAGAGCATTTGGTTCCGATTTTTGCACGGTTTCGACTTGCTAATCATGGCTTAAGAAATGCTGCCGCTGTTCGTGAATGCAGTGATAATATTCTTCGAGCGGAAATGATGTACAAAAGTCGACGTTTACACCAGATTTCTCGGCATAACGCTCGACTTATTGAGGGTCTGAAGCAATTGGTCTCTGAAGAGGATTACTGTCATCTACACGTGATCACAGATGTTATCATTACGCGATCGATTGAGAAGATAGAAGAAAGACAATCGTCAAAATTAGAACGGCTACGAGTGAAGAAGGTTATGGCAAACGAGAAGAGAAAGTCGAATGAGATGATCAATAACCCGATAATGAAGAAGCTGCCTGATCCAGTAACTAATTTATCGGATCGAAAACTCTCCGAAGCAGAACATGAAGCCGTGGTGAATGGTCTTCACCACGTTTATCCCTCGGAGAAATTCGACCATAGTGAATTCGTCTGTAACATTGAATATTTTTATGCTCGACTGGTGAAAATTCGTACAGCATATCGTCATTACGAAAGAAAAGCCGCGGAAACAGTCGTGAAACAAGAACTGACGCCTATGCAGCTTCAAGTCGCCTCAAAACTGCGATCAACAGCGAATTGGTTTAGGCATACTGCTGAAACTGAATTGAAATCAGTTAGTATGCAGCATCGACAGACATTTCATGTTTTAAAATCTCTTGCCAAGGATAAGTCGATTGTCATCACTCGACCGGACAAGGGGAGAGGCGTAGTGATTATGAATCGGGTTGATTATCTTCAGAAAATGAATGACATTCTGGGTGATAAATCGAAATTTAAAGAAGTCCAATATGATATGAACTCAACATTAGCAAGTGAACGCCATCTTCGAGATATCCTTGCGCGCTTATTAAAAGAAAACTTTCTCACAAAGGAAGAATACGAGTGTGCGAAACCCGTTGGTACAAGACCAGCACGTATGTACGGGCTACCGAAGCTTCACAAAACCGGTGCTCCACTTCGACCAGTCATGTCTGCGACTAAAACAGTCGGCTATGGACTTGGTAAAGTGTTGAGTCGACGGCTAGACCATCTGCGTCGTAGTCCATACTTGATAAAGGACAGATTCGATTTTGTCGAGAAAATTAAGAAATCATCTAACGTCGGCAAGATGATGGTGTCATTCGACGTGGTAGGCCTGTTCACAAACGTCCCACTAGGGTACACAATTAATCTCATTCTTGATCATATGTATCCGGTTTGTTTGGATGGATGTAAGAATCTAAGAAAAAACCTGATGTGTATCCAATGTCGTCATCGCATGGATTTCTCAGCTCTTCTTCAAGCAGCAACATCGGACATGAATTTCATATTTGATGGTAAGATGTACGTTCAATCCAATGGCGTGGCGATGGGAGCTCCTTTGGCACCGATTTTGGCCGACATCTTCATGGCACATCTTGAGACGAGTTTGATGAATCAACTAGGTTTGTGTAAATACCTCCATGTAAAAAGTGCTGTAGAGCATTCTTCAAGAGAATTTTTATTCTATTTGAGCCATTGAGAGTTGGATGAGTCGATTGGTAGCAAGTCTACGTGCACTAGTTTTGCCATATGACTAACTGAAACCTAAGAAAACAGGTCCTAGCAGAAATCGAAAATAAGCCCCGACGAAATTCCATACTTCCATTGCAGAAAACCTGTAAACAACAGGAAGAAATCCTGAAATATCTGTTTCAAATAGAAAAATCATTCAAATAGGCTAAACCAGCATTCAAAAAAACAATGTTGATGAAGCATTTATAAAATCTTTGGACTAAGAATCCTGAAAGGTCTTTTCAATCTTTCTGGACGAATGAAATATATAGAGACGAAATCAGATTGTTTCATTAGCAGTGCTCACAAAGACTTATATAACCCACTAGAGAAGATTAATATTAATACTAGCATATTTCTGCTAGGAACTTGACTTTGCATTTCCTTTGGACACTGCTTCTCGCCCTGTCTTTCTATAACATTTTCACAGTCTCATCAACAGACTGTATTTATTTTGCAGTACAAGCAGGTGTTTGTGAGTGGTATCGGTATGTGGACGACACTTTCGTTCTTCTTGAACCGACCACAAACATTGAAACTGTATTGAAGATCCTGAACGATTTCCATCCATCGATTCAATTCACACACCAACCGGAAGAGATCTACCATACTTCTACTGAAAACGAACAAGTGCACTCTGCTGCTTCGCGTGTCATGGTGAACCCCTCGATCCAACTGGAAGCCCAGCAAGACGGCTCCACTCAGCCAAAAGCTGAGACAAAGTTTTCCATATCGTTCCTTGACGTTCGTGTCGTCCGTTCTCCATCATCATCTTCTTTCGAGACAACAGTATATCGAAAGGATACATTTACAGGCTTAATGACTAGGTGGAGCTCTTTCGTTCCACTATCGTATAAGAAAAACAGTATTGTAACTATGGTACAAAGAGCCTTAGCCCTGTGCTCCACATACAAACTGCTCGCTGAAGAACTCGACATCATTCGGTGGATAGCCAACCAAAACGGTTATCCTGTCAAATTCATTAATACTAGGATTGGTATCGGTTTGACCAAGTACTTTAATAGAAATATCGAACAAGTGAACTCAACAAAGAAGGCAGAAGAAGGAACAACGAAGATGTACTTCGAGATTCCTTATATCGGTTCCGCAACCGAAAAACTTAAATCAAGACTAAAAAGAATTACACACGATGTTCGACCAGATATTGATGCACGATTTTTTACCAAACCGCTCCGATCAGTTCAAACATATTTTCCAAATAACGAAGCACTTCCGAAAGAGATACAATCAGATATTGTCTATGCGATACAATGCAAAGACTGCAAACAAATCTATGTCGGTAAGACAGAGCAGCAAGCCATACGCCGTATGCGACAGCATGGCGCTCCCAAAACCACATACAGCGCAACAACTGGAAACGATCAATCAACAAAAAACACACACAACACGCACAACTCAGACAAAGATTCAACCACAACAACAGCGGTGACTCTACGTCGCTCATCACGAATTCGTGAAAAAGAAGCTGCTGCACTTTCACAAACAATAAACAACCCGGTGAAAAAAACTACAGATATTAATTCCGTAAGAAGCAAAACAACTCAAAAAACTTCACCTCTTTCTATTTAGGCACTAGCTGATCATCAACGAGAAACTCGACACAGCATCGACTGGGAAAACTATAAAATCCTCTGGCGCGACAATTTACCTCATCGACTTCTACTGAAAGAATCACTCGTCATAAAAGCTCATCAGCCGGCTTTAAACAGGACCACTCATTCCGTTCCTCTACTCATCTTTCCCGAAGGCGTACCACCTGACATAGTCCCCTATCCTCATCCATAAACTCAAGCACCCTAAAGTCCTAAAATACGCTCCACACCGCATATCTCAACCATTACCCAACCCAACAAAAGCCCATAGAACGATATTAATTCCGCTCCACTCAAACACAATAAGAATTCAAAATCGCCGAGCATCGTCCCCTGGATAGTTGCACCCATAAAATCATTAACATGAACAAGTAGATAAAAAAGAGAAACATGCCCAGCTTCAGTAAAACCACCAAAAAACCAAACACCAACCTCACTACATTCCCCAGCACCAATACCAGTAACCCGAACAGACCCACAAACATCGACAAACATAACAACAAACCGGCTACTACCAATCCACTAATTCACAGATTCCAATCATTCAAACAATATTATTTTTCGGTGAAATCCGATGATTTTTTCGTTTTATTGAAAATGACCTGATACAAGAGTCGAAACGTCTAAAACGTTATAATATGTTGTGCCACTGTTATTTAAGTTTCATATAGTTGATTAAA